GTGGGCTACAGCATCCGAAGAAGTGGGCTGTAGCCCACGAAAGCTTATGCTCAAATAAATTTGTTAGTCTCTAAGGTGCCACCAGTTCTCCTGCTCTTTTTGCAGATATTCTACGTAGACCAGGGATGGGCAAACTTTTTGGCCCGAGGGCCACATTGGGGTTGCAAAACTGTCTGGAGGGCTGGGTAGGGAAGGCTGTGCCTCCCCAAACATCCTGGCCCCCATTCCCTATCCGCCCCAACCCCCCCTGCTCCTTGTCCCCTGACCGCCCCCTCCTGGGACCCCCTGCCCCTAACCACCACCCCCTATCCAACCCCCCTGTTCCCCGTCCCCAACCACCCCCAGCCCCTTACCCAACCCTCCCTCCCCCTTACCATGCCACTAAGAGCAGCAGAACTAGCAGTCGCGCCACCGTGCTTCCCAGCAGGAGCCAGCCACACCACCCAGAGCGCTGCTGGCACGGGGAGCTGAGGGGGAGGGGCCAGGGACTAGTCTCCCCAGCTGGGAGCTCAAGGGCCGGGCAGGACGGTCCCGCGGGCCAGATGTGGCCCACGGGCTGTAGTTTGCCCACCTCTGATGTAGACTATAGAATTGTTCTCTTTCTCTTGCTCTATGACTTTTGAGTCTTTATCCACAGTACAACCGTCATTTGGTCAGAGAGAGAGAAGAGAGGTTGTGAGAATGACTCTAGTCCAGCGGCTCAGGCACCCATGTGTGGTGAGTGACCCAGGGACCAGCCCACTTGCTCCAATCGCTCATTATTTATCCACAGAGGAAGAGCTTCAACAGAAGAGATGGAGGGAGCCCTGCATCAGAGTATCCCAGAGCTTAGTGACTAGAACATTCCTGAAAGGTGGGAGACCCCTATTCAAATCCTCCTCCCCTCCCAACCCTCCGGGAGAGCAGGTAGATTGTACCTGGGTCTCCCACATCCCAGATGAGTGCTCTAATTATTGGGCTAAAAATTATAAGGTGGGTGGCAGCAGCACCTCCTCTTCCGAGTCTACCAAATCGGGTCACATTTAAAATCTGGTCAGTCAGAGGCTGCCCATGGGATTGAGTCCTGCAAACAACTTGGGTGGATTCACACTTACCTTCCCCCAGGTCACGAATTGCTCAGGGGTTTAGGTGGGAGATACGATGTCTGAACAGCTAGACAGAGGCACTGGTGTATGTGCCCAGAAACATTGGCACCGAGCGAGTTTAGGCGCATATAGAGTTTGGTGGGAGTTTTGTGGATCATAGTGGAGACTAAAAATGGGACAGACTCCTAAACCCAAGACTGGTGCCTAAGTACCTGTGTGGAGATGGGCCAGAGTTGCTAATATAATTGATTCTTGCAAATATTTAGTTCTCCTTGTTTTGCGCTATTAGTGCAGAGGCTCTTAGGTCTGAAAACTCTGACAACTGTCAATATTAAACTGTAACTTGCTCTAACCTATTCTTACTCCAACAATTAAAGTAACCTCTCTGTAAATTTGCTTAATTTCTGTTACTTTTATTTGAGTCTGTTCAGTTGCTCAAGGGTAAACATTGTGCATGCATCTGCCATTATGTTATTCTCATCCCATTTGGAACATATAATTAGCAACAGAACACATACAGTGGGGAATTCCCCTTGTTAAAATCTAATTATTATAATTATTGGAAGAGGATAGAAAGGCAGGGCCGTTGCCCTTCTTAACTGATTAACATTTTGGCCCTAATTAGCACTTTTTATATTTCTTAATAGGATGGTTAATTTAGATATAAAACATGGAATACCTGACACACTAACTTTTTATTCTCCCTGGATAGCCTTGGGATTTTTTTCAAGTTATGCTGCTGAGCTGTATCCAATCAATATTCTATGCTCTTCAGAAATGAGGAAGTATTGGTGCTATTGGCTAAGCTCCCATTCAGTAAATGGTAAGTCATTCCTTTGATTAGATGCAGAGATTCCTTTCTTCTTTAATGAGACTATTTGCTGACATTAAGAGACCTAGCTATTGTGAACTCCTATGTTGTAACAGCTTTTATCTGCAAGGTTGTGATTTTTTTAAGTTGTTTTGTGTCTTCATCAAGAACATATTCTCATGGCATATTTTAATTGACAGTAATTACTGGCAGAGACAGGCTGTCTTGCAGTAAAGGGTGTGTATGAAAAGGAGCAGGTAAATTTTTCAGTGATAAAATTAATTCTTCTGAGCACCATGGAACCCATTTTACATAATCCTTAGTAAGTGATTAAACCTGCAAAAACATTTTAAGTACCAGCTCAAGGACATAGAATAAACTTGAAATGAATACACACCTCATTTGCTGTAATAGCTTATCCCTGCCTAACTAATCCCACCCCCCCAGAAAAAATCATGGGACTACGACGACGGCTGCTGTCACTTCATTTTGTGCTGTAGCCTGGTCCATTTAGATTGCAAACTCCTGGGCAAGAACTGTCTACCATGCTGTGTTTGTACAGTGCCTAACACATGGGGCTCCAATCTGGGTTGGTAGATACACGCTACCTTAATAAACATAATTATTAATAAGAACATTTATAATTATAATAGGATAAAATTTTTAAAATCCTTATGCGTCAGGGCATAAACTGATCACCACTGAGCTAGGGTGAGGAGAAATGTCCCCCTACAATATAATACAGTTAAGTATTGTATAGGAATTATATAATTAGGTACATTATGAGGCACATTTGTGAGAATTCCCCTGAAGTATCAGAGGCCAAGGTTGGAAGCCTTTAACGCTGCTGTTTTGCAGTGTGCCCACTAGTGGGGCTAGAAGCAAGTAGGCCAAATCTGTTTCTTCTTTCCCTGACAGCTCTCAAAACTATGCCTCCAACACCCACTAGTGGATTTTTATTAAAAGTTTTCAGAGTAGTTCAAGTAGTCCAAGTAAGTAAAGAGTTTCCTTTTTTCTATCAGTAATGCCATTGGGGGGTAAAAAAAGGCTCCCAAGAAACCCAGGCGTGAAAGCATAAGAAAAAGAAAAGTGCAGAAAGCTTTGAGTGATATGGGATTAATCTCAACATCAGGACCTGATCTGCGGAGGTATTTAGGGCCCTAAAGCTATAGATAGGCACAAAAGTGCCTAAACAAGTTAGCTGCCTCAAATACATTGAAATCCATGGGATTTAGGGGCCTAACCTGCTAAGGCATGTTTGAAAATCCCACCAGGTGCCTGCCTACACCTTTAGGTGCCTAAAATATATTTGAAAAATCTGTCCCGAATTGGCTGAAGTTGGTTTTCTACGTAAAAGGGAAGTGCATTTATTTTAGACTAATGCTACTAATTTGGAAAAATCACCTGAGTATCCTTTGGAATACTTCTGTAAAGCTCGTCCGTATCAAGTAGGATATGCATTTTTACGTAAATGGCTGTTTATTTAAGGAATAATCTCCGTTCAGTATGATACAAAGGACTAAAACCAGGGAGACCAAGCCAGATGAAATATCAAAGTGAATAAAGTAAATATCAACTGTTACATGGGTGGTCACTAGGATGACTCATTGTGTGGTGGGGGATGAAGGGAGAGCGTAAATGCCTTTGAAGTTAAATGAGGCTGCTGTTTAAAATATACATCAATGTTGTACAACAGTTTAGGGCAGGAATTGAAGAAGAATAGGAATGTATCTATGTGAAAGTTAAGTGGGGAATTTAGATAGGCAATTTGATTCTGCCTAAGCCAGAATTTTGGGATACTGAGGTTAGCACTTGTCCACCCACAAAGCAATGCTGTGGTGTTTTAAATGCCCACGAAGCTCAGAGGACCTTTGTTTTATGTTTCATCCAAAAGAAAGCAGTACGCCACCTCCTAAGCCTGTGACAAGGCATAGGCTCAGAACCAGTGCTTAAAGTGGTCTGAAAGAAGTGGAGAGTTGTAATGGGTGATCTGTCCCCTTTAAGGGTAGTAGGGCCTATGGGGTCAGCCAGACCACGTTCCATAGAATGCCCCTATTAAGGTTTGGGGAGTTTTGAGATCCCCAAGAGCCTAGGAAAATGAGAGAGGCAGTTACAGGGAGAGAGGAAGCAGTCCTGGGGGAATAGTTTGTGTTTAGGGGGAGGAGGGGAGACCTGGTCTACTTTCCCATTCAGGGCCCTGGACCAGGAGCCTTGAACAGAGAGCAGGACAAGACTCCGTCTCTCCCAACTAACCAAGACCAGCTCTGGAAAAGAGGTCTCTATATGTTCTCGGAACAGGGAGATACCAGCAGGGGAAGGGGGCCACCAAGGGGGAAAGGACTAAAGTAAAAAGAAGGCAGGGGTGGAAGAGCTGATTGGCCTGAATCAGTGAGGACAGCCCAACCAGGAGAACTGTGGCCAAATCAAAGTTTATTCGGATTATTTTGTTTTGGTTTTAACATCTAGTTTATAGGGAGGACCAGCAAAGCAGTATTCCTTCAAGTCAAGAAGAGACGTCCCAGAATGCTTTGAGGAACACCCCAGCAGGCAGACCTGTGGCTAAACTGTTCATGCAAATTGACTCTTTCCCCTGGGTCCAGTCACCGTGCTCCAATGAGTCTTTAATTAGTTACACAGAGTGGAACAGCTTCAGCAAGAGAGAGGAGGGAGCCCTACATCAGAATCTCCTGGAGCACCAATGGTTAGAGCACCTCTCTGGGACATGGGAGACCCAGGTTTAAGTGCCTCCTCAAACAGGGGGAGAGAGGATTTTAATTGGGGTCTCCTATACCTTGGTGATACATGTGGGGGATTGGATACTGGGTCTCCCAGGTGGGTGCCCTGACAACCAGGCTGCAGAGTCATTCTCACTCTGCCTGGCTCTACGACTCTCTGAAGATTTATATACAGTGGAACAGCTTCAGTAGGAGGATTTGATGAAGAGCCACATCAGAGAATCTCAAGCTGTTCCACCTGAGTGGTGAGGGAGACCCCTGTTAAAATCCTTTTCCTTCCCCCTTCTCTGTCTGAGGAGGAATTGAACCTGGGTCTCCCACATCCCAGGCAAGTGGTCTAGCCTCCAGGTGAAAAGTTATAAGGGGTAGGTGGCAGCAACCAGCATATGTGAGATTTTGAATGGGACCCGATCTGGGAGGCAGCATCTGAGCACGCCTACCTGATTGGTCCTGTGGCCAAGATAGGCGTCTGTCCACCTGTCTTTACCTGATCTGTGGTTCGTTTGGGGGCTCAAGTAGGAGATAGGCAGCTGGGTGCCTGGAGTGGGGCCACAGTGCACGTGCCCAGAAGCAGAATCTTAAGCACCTAGGGAACTTCTTCTGCAAAAAATGTAGGTGCTGATTGTGTTTAGGCGGCAGCTGAGCTGGAGTTTTGTGTGTTGCAGTGGAGCCTAAAACTCTGGGGGCTGGGCACTGAGTTGTGGATCTGGGACTATCTCTAGCAACTGGCTAATCAGCAGTGTCTCACATAGGTTTAATTACAAGGATTACCACAAAGCCCAGCCATTGAGGGCAGTGGGGATTAATTACCCTATCAGAGTGAGTAAAGAGACTCCTTCTGGCTTGTTGAGCTGATCTGGGAAACACAGCGTCTGTGGAATGAAAAATAGAATCTGGCTCTGGACGCTTTTGAGCCTTCATTTATGCATAAAGCATAACCTGTCCTTTAGCTGCACCTTTGCTTATCCCCTCGCCAAAATAAAGATGCATCGCCTTAATAGAAGTAGCTACCAGTGCTAATCAAATAGTTAGGTCAAAACAAACCTATCCCAGGTTCATAAATCAATGAGTGAATTACCGAGACAGTTTGTCTCCATTATATGGAGCCAAGGCAAGAATCCGAGAGAGATGGATTAATGAATGCAGGGTCATGAAGGACTACAGCAAATGCAGCCACTAGGTGTCCCTCGTAAGCCTTTATCTATAGCTGTCAAGATACAGTAAGAATTACAGTTAAGTAGCTGTCAGGGATAAGAATGTATATTTTATTCTATTCTGGCTTGGAAGACTATCAGCAATGAACTCCAGAAAGGACAGCATCAGGAATCTCTGGTTAGGGCACATTACACATGGCTTATCAAATTCTGATCGGAGCCTGAAACTGCACAATTATCTAATTTGGAAGTATATTTCCCTGCCTAGTAAGGCTGTAGCAGACATTGATCCCATATTATAATACATTTCATGCAAACTTTCTTATTTTCCTCCATCATTGACGGTGAGCAACAGCTGTGGATTTCTTGCCTGTCCCAAGCTATGAGAGAGACAAGTGAACAAATCAAGAAAACACCATAATATTTTTTTATTGTCAAATGTAAAGCCACTTTTCACATGCAACAAGCAGAGAGTAAAGCGATGCCTTGGAAGAACTTGTGCAGAATCCATTCTGCGTGTGCTTTAGGAAAAGGAGTGCTTAAAGGAAAGAAAAGATAGGATCCAGGAACAGCAGAGAGAAATTTAATGACACCTTCTCTGTGTCACCAACAGCAATCCCTTTAATATGGAATATAATTGATTGCTAAGCCCAATTTTACATGCAAAGGAAAGCAGTTGAAAATGGCGCACATCAGAGTGAGGTGTCAATCTGCCAGGTACTGTTTGCATGAAGTATCTTGTCAACTGGATTTAGTGGCTCCGTGCACTTTGTCCCAAGATCTGCAGCCTACCTTGAGTTCCCCAAAAACTAAAGAGCTTCAAGGGTCTTGTGGGTTTTTTGCACAAGATTTTAACTTAGGTTGTTTTTGCAAAATGTGAGAGAATGTGGTCGAAAGGAAGAAGAACCACATAGAATGTCAGTAAATGCCTTCAGAATCCACTGGCCGAGTCTGTTGCATGCACTGCAGAAAGGAGTCACTACACCTCATACAGCCAAATATACCTCTTTTCTTAACTTTCCAGGTACCAACTGTGTACGGGTTGGTTTGTTTGTTTTGCTACACGGAGACTTTCCCATGCAATTAGTGTAGGTCAAATTCTTTTCTCAGATACATCGGTGTAAATCTGGAGTAACTCCACTGCAGTCAATTCAATTATTAGTGGAGGTAATCTGGAGTTACACTGATTTAACAGAGAGCAAATTTTGGTCCCTAATGTTTGCAAAGTTCTTTATGATTCTTGGGGAAAGGTGATAAGAAAGTGCAAAAAAGTCTGTGGTGCATAACAACGATAAACTGACGTTGTGTCTTCACTGCCAAAAAAGATGGGTTTTTACAACGGGATACTGAATGCATGTTCTCATTGTAAAACTGAGTGAAGACTAGGCGTCGGCTATTTTTAGCACGATGTAACTAGGCAAGTTCAACACTATACTCCTGCCAGGTTTGATCTTAACTGGCTACATTGTGGTAAAAACTACAGTGCCTAGCCTCCGGTAGGATTTTACATTGAGAGCACTAACGCACGTTCGCTTTCTCGCTATAAGAACATACCTTAAGGCAGTGAAGACAAAGGTCCTGGTTTTTAAAGGTGTTTAGGCCCCTGCATAGGCAGATAGACACCTAGTGGGGTTTTCAAAAGCACCCATGTGCCTGGGAGTTAGACACAATTTACTGCATTCCCCAGATCAGAGTATCCCCAGCTGCTGGCCCCATTCGCGGTGGGGGCACTGCGTGAGGGCAGACTGCCCTGTTCAGTTTCTTTTATAAACTTGGCTGGGGGTGGTACTTGGACAAGCTACAGGCTCTCACAAGCTGCCACAAGCCAGATTCTTAAGCATTTGGATCTCGTCTTGAATGGACAACATCTTACGCTTGTCATCCCCTTAGCTCCTTTACTGAATTGACCATAGTCCCTTAACTTCAGAAGTGAGTGCTGACAGAATAGGTATAACAGTCCTCTGTTGCCAGAGTCCCAAAATCCCTTTTTCTCTGGGACTGGGACAGAGACGTTCTTCGTTAGTGGTCACAAGTGGTCTTTCTAATGGTTACAGCAGGAAAGGTGAACTCTGTGTGTGACTCTTAGGCCTTCTCTACACTACAAAATTAAGTTGACCTCACTTAGGTCGATGTACAGCCACTGAGTAATTACTGCAGTTTTTGATGTTCACACTAGCTCCTGTCGGCGGTGCCCGTCCTCACCAGGAACACTTCCACTGATTTAACTGGCACTGTGGGGCACTGACAGCCCGGGGTCCCACCGCTGGGGCTGACAGTCCGGAGCCCCACTACCACTTCCTGGTGAGGGATTGAGGGAGAAAGAGGAGGAGAGCCCAAGCCGGACGGTGGCCAGGCTTGGGCTCTCCTTCTCGCTGCCTGCAATCCCTCACCAGGAGGTGGCAGCAGGGCTCCAGCTGTCATCATTGGGGCTGACACCCAACGGGCAATGTAAGTAACTCGGAGTCTACACAGACACTGCGTTGCCCTTCCTACATCAACCTAAGCGCTGCAACTCTTGCCGAAGTGGATTTACTAAGTCGATGTAGTGGGTGATTTACATCGGCGGGAGCATCATTGTAGGGTAGATACAAAGGTAGTGGAGACGTAAGCTGCTTCTCTAGAGTAGATCAAGCCTAAGTTTCCTGCTTTGTAGAATGACTCCTGTGATAGTTACCTACATCCCACAGGGGCTTCTGAAGCTTAATCAGTGTTTATGAAGTGCTGTGAGGTGACCTAATGTGGCAGATGTTCTAAAAGTACAAATCATTATTGTTTATCTTATTGGTTTTGATAGTGATTTGGAGACAGATCCTGCAAGCTTTCCTCATAAGAAACTCGTATTGAAACCAATGGGCGTTCATCTGGCAAGCTGTAGGTTTGCAGGATTGGGTCCTTACTGTGGTTTTTCCTGTCTCTTGCTGTTTTGTTCTCTCCCCTTTCCTTTCGTTGGCTTTTTGACCTTCAGGGCTTTCTTTGAAGTGGCTTTTTGTTATTGTCAAGGCAGCACATCATCTCGCAGCAACATCACTCTCTCAGCCTTGCTTACACATCTGCTAGATGTGAAAGGCCTCAATTCATTGTAGACAGCTAGAGTTGAGTTCTGTTCTTTGTTCTCTTGTTCTGTTGAGAAGGGGCAAGAAAGCATCCTTTGAAATCCCACCACCACTTCTGGAGTTCTTAAGCATGAAAGAAATGAACAAACACAAAAATGAGAATTGGCATGGTGATGAGAGCATAAAAATTCAAACTAAAAGTCTGCATACCCTGTTATTTTCTGCCAAGGATGGAGTGTGTTCAGAGAATCCTAGAACTTTGAGGTGAAGAATAACAATTAAGTGATCCAAACAATGCAGGAAGTTTTTTGTTCAATTCAGCCTAATTTTTCCCTCTTTTGATTCATCCCATTAAACCTAATTACACATCCTTGTTCCATCCTAAATAATTATTCTCCTTCATTGGTGTTAACACTCTTCAGATACTTATAGACTGTTAACTATCGTATCCCCTCTTAGCCATTGATTAGCCAACCTATGCACAGTTAGTTCTCTTAATGTCTCATAAGTCATTACCTCTCTTTCCTCAACTCTGACCTCCACCCTTTCAGTGTAATCTTGGAAGCATCATTGACTCTGAGATTTCATAGATTCATGGAATATAAGGTTGGAAGGCACCATTATGATCATTCAAGTCTGAGCTCTTGCATAACACAGGCCAGAGAATTTCACCCAGTCGTTCTGAAACCGGCTCTGTGATTTGTGGTACAACTAGAGCAGATCTTCTAGAAAGACATTCTGTCTTGACCTAAAGACTTTGGGTGATAGAGAAGCCAGCACCTTCCTTGGCTCCAGTAGTTAACTGCTCTCACTTTCTTTTGCACATTGATCCAATTTGCAAGCCTAACTATTGCATTATTCCCTCTGCAGCCTAGACCAGCCTGCCTCTCCTTGTCACTCACTCAACTGAATGGCTCCTTCATCCATTTGCTCCTTCTCACTTTGATGTCTGAAACTCCCTCCCCTTGGGACATCCTACATCTCTAATGGCAAGTCTCGACTACAAATTAAGTCAACCTAAGTTACATCGACAAACAGCCACCACAGTAATTTAATCAGTTTTACACATCCACACTACACTCCATGTGTTGATGGTGTGCGTCCTCACCAAAAGCGCTTGCATTGATTTAACTGCCGGTATGGGGCATTTTAGGACAGTTTCTGAAAGGCAGAAACAATCAACGTAAGCAACGCAGCGTCTACACTGACATTGTGTCAACCTAACTACATCAACTGAAGTGCTACGCCTCTTACAGAGATGGAATTATGAAGTCTTAACTCACCCACTACACCATCGGTAGGAGCTACATTTAATTGTAGACGCTTACAGCTGCCTTACATTGACCTAACTTTGTGGTGTAAACCAGGCTTTATATCCTAAGTTCAGGAGGCTGCAGCAGGCCCTCACCCTCATACCCGTGTTGGGAAGACCTCTGTTGGTTCCTCATCTACAAAACCATGCTCCTTCTCTTCCAGGTCCTTCATGGGCATCATGGCCCCAACTATCCCTATGATCTCATCTCTATACAAACTCTACAACCACCCTGTGCTCTGCCAGGTCTGGCCTCCTCTCAATATCTCCTCTCTCATCCTCCTGTTGGAAGTTCATTCTTTGCTGCCAGCACGCCAGCTTTCTGGAGCTGTCTCAGTTGTTCCTCTAACTTTTTTTTTTTTTAATGAAGCTCAAAGCCCATCTTTTGTATGCCATCTACACCCAATGGGCTGTCAACTACTTCACCATATTGGTGCTTATTATTAACAGTTTTTCGTGCGTCTCTTTGTTTACTACTTCCACCTAAATGATAAAGAACAATGCCTGGTTGCAGTCCTATATTCGCTCTGGTGAATCTCTCCTGCCTGTACCATTGTCCATCTCATCGATTTGCATCAGACTTCTGTCTGGAAAGCTGTATAAAGCCTTTACAATGTGCAGAACTAAAACTCAGGGTTTTCTACACATTTATCCAGCTCTTTGGGCTTTACATTGGCTGCTAGTTAAATCCCGTTCCTGGGGAAGCCTGGGCCCCTTGGCCTCCCTGCAGCTACAGGCCTGGCAGCTTTGTCTAAAGCAGCTCTGCTTAGTGCATAGGACACAAATGGGAGAGTCTGGGAGCCACTTTCCTTAGCATATGGACATTGGGTAAATGTGCAGAGAGCTTGCCAAGTGATTTGCTCATGTCAGTAGAAGAATCAGGAACAGTACGCAAGAGTCCTGATGCTCATCTCCTGCTTTTGAGTGCTAAATTATTCCCTAAAATGCACAGTAAATATAATCCCACAGCAAACTCCTCCTACTTAAAATAAAAAGAGAACTGAAGAGAAGCAAAATAGCATAATTGAGAGGGAGGTGGATTCCCAGTGACCGCATGTATGTGCCCTTTACGTGTGTTGGGCCCACAGAGAACACTGAGTCAAATGGGCTTGTGGTTAGCTGGGATTCAGAATCCTTCTGGCGAACTGCCTGGCTCTGATTATCTGCCAGATGTGCCCGCTGCACAGGTGTTTGCTTCTTCCCTCGTGTGGATGGCTGAGACTGTAACAGCCACATCAGCAGAGAATATTCTCATGATCTTTCAGGATATCCCCTAAAAACACAAAATTACCCCCTGGCTGGTGTATGCCAGCTCACCCTGGCTTTTAATGTCAAGAATTCCCTCGAGATTTCACTTCTGCTATTTGGTTTGTTTGAAGGGCACACTGACTTCAGTGAAACTGAACTTTTCCAGGGTGGTTTTCTCCTCCCCCTCCCCGAAACTCTGTATTACCAGCTTGAGAACTGGCAGGGACATTTAGAAAGTTAGAAGCAAAACTTCTAGTGAGATAATCCAGAGATGTGACACTCTGGCTCTCCTGTGTATCTTATTTTGCATAGGGAATTTTTCTGTGCTTCTCCGGCACAGAAAGGGTAACTGCGCACATAGGGAGAAGATGGCAGAGTTGTCTCCACAAAGTTTCGGGTGCTTCACTGCGCTTTCATTTAGGGGGCAGATGGAAAAAGGCAGTTAGATACCCAACTCTTATTGAAAATCAGTGAGAGTTGGGCACTTAAGTGGTTTTGGAAATTCTCCCCCTTAGTGACCTACTGATTTCCCAGCCTAGATGAATCTGGGCTTCCTTCAGTGATTAGGGGAGAAATCTTCCGAGCTGGGTCAGAGGGCCCAGAAGGGTGGGTAGTAGTCTGGGCTCCCATATATCAAGAGGCATTTCTTCACAGTACCTTAATGTGTGGCGATACAGAAAGGGCTTGGAGGTAGGGCAGGGACCAGTATGTCTGAGATTTGAATTTGGCCTTCAGCGTTTTACTTGGCAATATGAAACCTTTTTTCTGATACCTAGCCTTACTCTATGCTGGGATGATTTCAATCCCGTAGTTGGAAAGGATTTGTTAATGCTGCTAGCTCGGTGCATTTTATGAGATGATCCATGAAATGCAATTTGGCTGATTCTTTGCACTTTAGTACATGGAAATAGGTGGCAGTGAGCAAAAATTGGAATTTCCAGCTTATGGGAAATTCTGATATTTCAACATCTGTTTGGGACAAAAAAAATCTAAATAATAAAAAATTGTGTGGAGTGAAAAATTCAGAAAAATGTTGATTTGGAAATCTGGAATAATTTCCTTTTGAGTCAGATATGCAGATACAGTTTAATATCTGTGGTGGCACAGAGCCTCTTGAGTGGTGTAGTTCAGGTGCCTTCTGCCATCATTACTCTCTGTGGGCCAGGCTACCTGGCCAGATTACATCTCCCATGATGCACTGCAGGCATTTGATTCCCATGATGCATCACATGGTTCAGTGCATCATGGGGATATAGTCCAGCCAAGAAATACAGTTCATAGAAGAGAATGGGGACATGAAGTATCTGAACTACAATTCCCCTAAAGAACTACACCATCCTAGGCAGATTCAATTTAATGTTAAACTGATTCAAAACAAAATGTTTCGGTTCATTGCAGCAAATTTAAAATGTTTCTGGTCAGGTTGAACCAAATTTTGTTTAGATTTATTTTTAATTTCCTGTAGAAAATTCTAATTTTGTGGAAAGTGTGTGTGGGGGGGGGGTTCCTACCACAATATCATTTTAATGGAAAATCCCAACCAGATTTACAATTGGGTTTTCATGCAATGAACTGTAATGCTGATTTCTTCTTCTTTTCTTGCAGTCTTGATTGGCAGTAGTAAAAGATGGTTCTAGTATAATGATATCTGTCAATTCCTGAATCCTCTCTCTCCTATGATTTGTTTGAAAAAAATGTTAATTTGGATTTTAATGTAGTACATTCTCTCCTCTCCTAAAGGGCCAGTTGGCAGTGACTTCACTGGGTCAGGCCCAACATGAAAAGTTTCTTAAAACTTTGCGTAATCTGAATGTCAAGTGTCAGCTTAGCCCCTGTAATAGGTAATCATCAACACTTTGAATTGCACCCAGAACTGGATGGGAAGTGTAGGTGTTATATGATCCTCCACTCACAAGCAGAAGCTTCCAAGTAGCCTCCAGCCTGGAGATAAGAAAAGCATGGGTCGCTGTGGATTGGAGCACATCAGGGAGGAAGGGCCTGATCCCCTGTCCTGACCCCGCTACCTGAAAAATGGTAAGAAGCATTTTGAGCTAGTGCTGTCATATGATAACCAAGGAGCAGCAAGAAACCATACCAGTGAGCACAGAAGCAGACACATCTCCTCAATAAAGGGAGCACTCTAAGGGTAGGTCTACACTACCCGGTAGTTCGGCGGCAAGCAAATCGAACTTCTGGGTTCGACTTATCGCGTCTTGTCTGGACGAGATAAGTCGAACCCGGAAGTGCTCGCCGTCGACTGCGGTACTCCAGCTCGGCGAGAGGAGTACCGCGAAGTCGACGGGGGAGCCTGCCTGCCGCGTCTGGACCGAGGTAAGTTCGAACTAAGGTACTTCGAACTTCAGCTACTTATTCACGTAGCTGAAGTTGCGTACCTTAGTTCGAATTGGGGGGTTAGTGTAGACCTGCCCCTAGTCTATGCTTTCCTCCTTCTGACTCCCCTTGATCCAAGTTAGTAGCAGCAAGGACAACAGAGGAATAGTGGGGGTACCAGATTGCCATACTCTTCTTTATCAGTTTTCCCTACAGAACATCCATCTCCATACACCTGACGACTGAAATCAGTCATCTGCCATTGGGACGTTAACCTCTTCTGTGCTGTTTTTGTCTGTAAAGTATGGTAACCTGGACAGGACAATCATGGAGGAGGGGCACCGAGGGACCAGTGTACCCGTGCTTGCAGATAAGACTGTAATAACAGTCTGCTAGGATTCTGAGCTAATGGTCACCAACACAATCTCCTTTTTGGAAAAATACATGAACGTGGCTGCTAAGAAACGGGGGTGATAATATTTCACATTGAAAACACATTGTGCATTGTTATTTTTAACATTTCTAGCCGCACCTTGCAGAAAGTTATTTACATAGATTCACTCGTCTCTGACAACCTATCATTTAACCTGTAGCAGCAACGACAGCTTTGAAGATAACCCATGTGAAAAACATACAGGAAGCTGCAGAAGACACTGCAACATCTGCTTGGCTGCCCCACTCTCATTGTCTCTGACCGCAGCCAAATTACTCAGTATTGATACTGCATTAGGCTCAGGTTGGCGCCTATATATTTGGTAACTGCTGGCCAAGAGAGGGTTCAGAAGAATGTGACCATCCTACCAACTCAACTCACTTCTATATACAGTAAGTCACCTATGTATGTCAAAACCTTTCCACCTACCATTTCTAAATATCTACTTGCCCTAAAATGTGGTTTTCCTCTTCAGCCCTCATTCCAGGAAGAGGTATTAAAAAAAAAAGGGGGGGGGGGATGAATCTCTCTAAGGGAGCACATCTGCTTCTGCAAGTTGTGTAGTCAAAGTAAAAAGTGTCAGAGATTCAGTTGTTAAATGGACCTACATATACCTAGAGAAATAGGGAGAGAGAAAGAGCTAGTGTGACTTGCATCATGGTGGTATGTGCTTAGGAAGCCACAAGTGAATTTTTGTAGATCGTCCCAAGTGAAGACTGATTAAAACTTCAGGGCCGTGCCACGTGCTGTATCTGATTGAAAAAAAGCAATTTTACAAAGTTGGCACAGAAATTATTGGGAATATTTTTTTCTTCCTCCCTCCCTTACCCATCAGCATAATGCTTGCAGGATAACAACCTTTGGATTTGCTAGTGTAATGGTTCTAGTTATTGGGCTAAATTCATCTTTGGTGTAAATGCATTGAAGTCACTGGGGTTGCATCATGGATTTATTTGGTCCGTTGGGTGAGAGAGACAACTAGGATTACACAAAGCACAATTAGGGGAGAGCAGCACGGGACTGACAACCCTTAAGAACAAAGTCCCTCCAAAGAGCAGGTGATACAGTCCAGCACGGGCAACCGCAGTGCAAAGTTCCCACTCTCTCCACCTTTGCAGTGTGCCTCGTTGTTAACCTGGAGGAACCATCTCCTCATGCTCGCTCACAGGCCCTAGGAGTTCTGCAGAGGCAGTATGCTCGGGAAGCTCCTGGTGTCCATCCTGTGTACTGAGGGGCCTTGGAGGGAGCGGCCAGGAAGGAAGGATCAGGCCAAAGGAGGGATACAATATCCTTCTGTAGGGGAAAGGGTGCGGAAGATTGGTGAGGAGCTAAGTGGCGGACCGAGTATGTGACTGAATGTGAGCAGAAGATGCAGGCTGTGCAGTTGAAGGCCATGCAATGAACCTTGTGCGGCAGATCCTGCCAAAATGTAGTTTGGTATAGTTCAGCATGTTTTTGTCTGTAAACAAGTCAGCTTATATAATACGTACGATTTATGAAAACAATGAATGTAGCCAGCTGTTGACCCCATGTAACCTTGAGATAAGCACAGGGGGATATAGCATTGCAGCGGACTCCCTTCAGTGGAGTCCTACCTGGCCAGCTGTCCCGGACGGTCAGAGTTCCCTGCAGCCCTTCTGCGCGCCCTGGGACTCACACTCCAAGCTGCGAGGGAAGTTCTTCTTTCAGTAAAGCCTTACTTTTTTACTCTCAGGCCTGAGTGTCAGTCTTTCGCCGGTATCATGGCCCCCCTTGCAGGCACACCTTCAGAGTCCAAAGCTCCTGCAGTGACATCGTCCCACAAGGAGGGGAGGACACTGTTGCGGAAACTGGACCTTTAGTCAGGAACCTTTGATTTCTCTGAAATCCTGGAGTGATGTGGTGGTGGGGAAGGAGCAGGGGAATCACATATCCACGGAGACTTTCGAGGCAGATAGTGTGTGATGAGATATTTAGCAGATGATAATGCAAACCACAGAGAAATAATAAGAGGAGGAGGAAATTTGTTTGCTGGCTTGGAAGCTGTTGAGCATTTAGAGATGGGGGAGATCAGCTTGGTGATGGGAGCCAATATAATAACCTAGATAGATTTACCTTGGCTTCCTCGCTGTAAACAAACCACTGGAGAAAACTTGTTCCCTTCCCACGTAGCTGTTGAGTGCTCTCCCCAGGAAAAGACGGTAGGGGCGGAGGCGTGGTTTTTTTTCTGTTTCTCATCAGTACTAGGGTTCTGGTAGATGTGCTAAATGTACTGCAGTCTATTCTCACCTCAGTGTGGATGAATTACAGGGAAGCGAAATAACAAAGGAATAACAAACCCTCTCCTCTTGGATACAGCCACTATCCTCTTGTGCCAGATTCTGCTGTTACCGAACTCTGTTTGGGGAGAGCTCCACTCGGCAATATAGCGGTGCAAAAGAAGCACTCTGTGCTGTGGTCCCCTGAGAGGATGGCTCAGTGGGGTAGTAGGAGGAGCATGATCAAAATCTCAGCAGCCTCCAAGCATGTCGTGTATAAAAGCCAGAGTTCCCCAAAAGGGGCTCTTCACAAGAAATGCTGCACTCTGACACCACACTGGAGTATATGGTGCTTTCACCCATCCTGAGATTGTAACGCCAGCAGAAGGCAGACCATGGACAGTGGTGAGTGCATCTTCCCCATCCTTTGGATGTACCCACACGCTCTTGTTCTCATCTGCACTACTAGGGATGCTCCCCTTGTCATTGCAAATGACGCTGAGAGGAAAGGAGCAGCCATGCATTACAATGAAATATTTTTTAAAAATTTCTATTTAAAATATTCTTTTTAAATTGTTTTAATTTTCCTTGATTTTCACATCTTAAAACAAACGGGGGAAACCATCTCGCTAACCAGATTTTTAAAACTACTTAATTTTCCTGTTTTTAAATGACAAAGAGGACCCTTTCTCCCGAGTGTGGTTGACACACTCTAGTGATTTGAGTAGGAGCGAGGACATTTGGATTCTGTTCCTGGCTCTGCCACAGACGCCCTGTGCAGTCTTGAGTGAGTCACTTCCTCTCTCTCTGCCTTGATTTCCCTATGTGTGAAATGGGGATAATTTTACAATGCGTCTCTCTCTCAAAGGGGCCTCATCATGCTCCATGGATGAAGCTCTGCAAAGCGTTTTTAGGTCCCTGGATCCAGGCAGAGTTGTTTTGGATTCACTCAGTGGGGGACTGAATCTAGTTGGAGTTGTATTTCCATGGATTATTTCATTGTGAAGCATCAAAGTGAGCCGCAGCAGGCACCGGCGCGGTCTGCTGTTGGGAATACAGCATCCGCGTTGTTCCTGGAGAGAGAGAACTTGCAGCTTGTTACTGTCAACATTTAAGACTCTCCTTGAGTGCTTGATTATAGCTCAGGTCTGCTTCGCAAGAACCTATTTCAGATTTGCCTTCAGTGGTTTTGTTGCAGCCACAGGGTTAATCAGAGGAAACTAGAGTAAGGGGTCAGAGATGTGGCTGAACAGCTAGAGTGCAGATATTTTTATCCTTCAGACTCCAGGCTGTACTCCAGTAATTTCCTTCCTCCTGATGTTTGCTTTTAAACATACTTCTTTTCACTTTCTTTAGTGCTCAAAAACACTTGCAAAACATCATTCCAGGATGAATGAAGGGGGCAAAGAGAGGTGGGGGTGGGGGAGAGAACATAACAGAGAACGCAGAATGGTAACAGCGTTGCCATCAGAAGGTTGAACCACTTTGCAAATGAATTAAGCAAAGGGGGATTGAAAGACACCTGATAATGTTCTGGGAATGAATGGCTGGTCAGTGCTATAGGTAGGTGAGTGTGTGGTACAGATTCAGGGCAAGCTCTGTTCTGAGGTACTGGCTGCAGAAACCACAGAGTACAGAACAGTGAAGCCTCACGGCAGCAGTAGATGGTTGGGCTTTGCTCTGAGATAGGGCAGCAGGACCCGCCTTCTATCTTCATGCCATATTTTCAAGTCAAAGTCTGGAATGAGTAGGGAGTTAAAAGGCTTTGTGCATTTAGTCCTTTGCCAGCACAGCAGCCTGGGGGACGTTATTAGGACGTGCCTCACAGAAGCATCTAAATGCCCCAGTGTAACAATGCTGTTCTGGCGGGACCCAGCTGAGAGTGCCAATTCAGGACCAATTGCTCAAACAGGGCAGTTACAGCCCAAGGCTGGGGTTTTTCCACCTCTAAGGCAAACCAAACCAGCCAGACTAAGAGGACTTTGGTCTCCCCCCACTGGCTAACCACAAGTCACACAAGCAATTCCCTTAGAAACTCCAGTTTCCCAGTATCACCACCAGTGTCACTCGTTATGGGGACAAATGGTTATGAAAACCAATACCCCAGTAAAAGAAAAAAGGTTCTCTCGATCCCAAAGGACCAAGCCCCAGACCCAGATCAATATACAAATCAGATCTTACCCAAAAATCACAGTTGCCAATCCTTTAGAATCTAAAATCTAAAGATTCTAGAGGAAAAAGGGATAAGATAGAGATGAGTTAGAATTTGTTAAATGGAATCAATTATGTACAGTAATGGCAAAGTTCTTGGTTCAGGCTTGCAGCAGAGAGAGAATAAACTGCAGGTTCAAAATCAAGTCTCTGGAACATCCCCAGCTGGGATGGGTCATGCAATCCTTTGTGTAGAGCTTCTGTTTGTAGCAAAGTTCCTCCAGAGGTAAGAAGCAGGATTGAAGACCAGATGGAGGAGAGGCATCAGCCTTTTATAGTCTTTTCCAGGTGTAAGAATACCTCTTTGTCCTTACTGTGGAAAATTACAGCAAAATGGAGTCTAGAGTCACATGGGCCAGTCCCTGCATACTTTGCTGAGTTGCAAGGCGTATTTGCCTTCTCTCAATGGGTCAATTGTATAGCTGATGGTCCTTAATGGGCCATCAAGCATGGTGGTGATACTGGGAAGCAGGCTAGGCAGAGCTAACACCAACTTGTCTGGGAAGTTTCCCAGAAGCATAGCATAAGTTTGAAATACAGACAGTATAGAGCCAATATTCATAACTTCAACTACAAAACTGATACACACATATAGACAGCATAATTATAACCAGCAAACCATAACCTTGTCTTAGACACCTCATTTGACCCCCTTTATA